AAACCAAACCCGCTGCTGTTGAGTTGATTTCAACTCAGAGCGACCCTACAGGACAGAGTAGAACTGCCCCACATGGTTTCCAAGGAGCACCTGGTGGATTTGAACTGCCGATCTTTCAGTTAGCAGCTGTAGCACTTAACCACTATGCCACCAAGGTGTCCTCTTATTCAAGAGTGTACTGGAAATCCTAGCTAGAGCAGTCAGACGGGAGAGGGAAATAAAGGGTACTCAGATTGGTAAGGAAGAACTAAAACTTCCCTATTCTCAGATGATATGATCCTATGTATAGAAAATCCCACAGAATCCACAAGAAAGCTACTGGAACTAATAGAAGGATTCAGCAAAGTGGCAGGGTACAAGATCAGCATACAAAAATCAGTTGGATTCCTCTACATTAACCAAGAGAACTCTGAAAAGGAAACCAGGAAAACAACATCATTTACAACAGTCCCTCAGAAGATAAAATACTTAGGAATAAACCTACCTAGGGATGTAAAAGACTTATACAAAGAAAACTAAAAATACATTACTGCAAGAAACCAAAAGAGAACTTCATAAATGGAAAAACATACCATGCTCATGGATAGGAAGACTTAACATTGTGAAAATGTCAGTATTACCCACAGCAATCTATAGATAAAATTCAATCCCAATCCAAATTTCAACAATTCTTTAATGAGATGGAAAAACTAATCATCGACTTTATATGGAAAGGAAAGAGGTCCCGGATAAGTAAAACATTACTGAAAAAGAAGAACAAAGTAGGAGGTCTCAAACTTCCCGATCTCAGAACTTACTATGCAGCTATGATAGTCAAAACAGCCTGGTACTGGTACAACAACAGATACACAGACCAATGGAACATAAATGAGAACCTAGAAATAAATCCATCCACCTATGGACACCTGATCTTTGACAAAGGGTAGAAGCCCATTAAATGGGGAAGAAATAGTCTCGTCAACAAATGGTGCTGGCAAAACTGGATATTCATTTGCAGAAAAATGAAACAGGATCCATACCTCACACCATACACAAAAATGAACTCAAAATGGATCAAAGACCTAAATGTAAAACCTATAAGTATAAAGTTCATGAAAGAAAACATAGGGACAATGCTAGGGGCCCTAATTTATGGCAAAAACAGAATACCAAGCATAACTAAAAATGCACACACTCCAGAAGATAAACTAGATAACTGGGACCTCCTAAAAACTAAATACTTATGCTAATAAAAAGATTTTTCCAAGAGAGTGAAAACAAAACCTACAGACTGGGGAAAAAATCTTTGGCAATGACATATCTAATAAAGGTTTAATCTCTAAAATATACAGAAAATGTTGACAACTCAACAATAAAAAGACAAGCAACGCTATCACAAAATGGGCAACGGACATGAACAGACATTACACCAAAGAGGACAGTCACGTGGCCAACAAATACATGAAAAGATGCTCATGATCATTAGCCATTAGGGAATTGCAAATCAAAACCACGAAGAGATGCCATCTTACCCCTGCAAGAATGGCACGGATCAAAAATTCAGAAAACAGTAAATGCTGGCAAGGTTGCGGGGAGATCTGAACTCTTAGGCTCTGCTGGTGGAAATGTAAAATGGTACAACCACTGTGGAAAATGATATGGTGCCTCCTTACAAAGCTAGAAATAGAAATACCATACAATCCAGCAATCCCACTCCTAGGAATATATCCTAGAGAAATAAGAGCTGTCACACAAATAGACATCTGCACACCTATGTTCACTGCAGCATTATTCACAATAGCAAAAAGATGGAAACAACGTAAGCGCCCATCAACAGATAAATGGATAAACAAATTACAGTACATAAGCACAATGCAATAGTACGTAATGATAAAGAACAATGATGAATCTGTGAAATATCTCACAACATGGATGAGTCTGGAGGTCATTACGCTGAGTGAAATAAGTCAATCACAAAAGGGCAAATTTTCATGAGACTACTATTATAAAAACTCAAGAAAAGGTTTCCACAAAGAAAGAAACAATCTTTGATGGTTACGAGGGGAAGGAAGGGCTGGGGAGGGGAAATCACTAACTAGATAGTAGACAAGTATTAACTTGGGTGAAAGGAAAGACAATACACAATATAGGGGAAGTCAGCATAACTTGACCAAGGCAAAGGTAGACAGACGAACACAACGGAAATAAAAAAAAGGCAACCATAGTAAATACTACACCATATACAACTCTACAACAACAGTTAAAACAAATAATAACTTGTAGGCAGACACGTATGCTGAACAGGGGAAGGAGGGCATATAGGAGTATATTCATGTACATACATAGATCAGGCCGTGGATGTTTGTACATACAGCATGTATATTCACATATATAATACAATACAAAAGGGGCACAGTCATACAAGCTTCCTAGACACATCCAAACACCTTGAGGGACCAAGCTGCTGGGGCTGAGGGCTGGGGACCATGGTCTCACTGTACACCTACGTCAACTGGCGTAACATAGTTCATAAAGAAAATGTTCTACAACCTACCTTGGTGAGTAGCATCTGGGGCCTTAAAAGCTTGTGAATGGCCATCTAAGATACATCTATTGGTCCTGTCCAGTCAGGAGGAAAGGAGAATGAAGAAAACCAAAGACACAAGGAAAGTATTTGTCCAGAGGACTGAGGGGCTAGGGAACCACGGCTTCCACCAGCCGGAGCGCAGAAGAACTAGATGGTGCCTGGCCACCACCACTGTCCGCAGCACCACTGTCCGCTCTGACGGAGATCACAACAGAGGGTCCCAGACAGAGTAAGAGAAAAATGTAGAACAAAATTCAAATTCACAAAAAAGACCAGACTTACTGGTCTGACAGAGACTGGAGGAACCCCTAGGCTATGGCCCCCCGGATACCCTTCTAACTCAGAAGTGAAGTACTCCTGAAGATCACCTTTCAGCCAAAGATTAGACAGGCCTATAAAACAAACAATAACACACGTGAGAAATTTGTTTCTTACATCAATCAAGTATACGAGACCAAATGGGCAACACTTGCCAAAAAGCAAAGACGAGAAGGCAGGAAGGGACAGGAAAACTGTAAAAACGGAAACGGGGAACCTGGGGTAGAAATGGCGAGAGTGCTGACACATTGCAGAGATGCCAACCAATGTCATGAAACAATCTGTGCATAAATTTTTGAATGAGAAATTAATTTGCTCTGTAAACTTTCACCGAAAGCACATTAAAAACAACAGCAACACACAATATACTCTTCCATTATACTTCTTTTTCCCCCTGCAAAGACAGTATACATGAAATGTTTACTTATTTTCTCCCTAACTGGATCTTATACTTAATGTCCAGTGCATCCACTTTTTTCTGGATAAGAAGCCTGGATAACTTCTCTCCATTATTCCCCAAGATATCAATTAGCTAGATACTGTGTTGCTCCAAAATCAATGCACACATCTCTCCTTATAATAAATCACCCATTAATCTTTTAACTCAGTTGCTCTTGACCAATTTCCTGTTCTAGCAAATCTCAGGGGTCAACATACTTCTTCCCACCTGTATTGCTGGCTCACTAATGACAACACACTTAAGAGGAGGAGGGAAGCGAGAAGGCTTGGGAGGCATAGTTGAAAAAACGCCAGAGCAGCCTCTGGTACAAGCAGGCTCCATCTGCCTGAGAATGGCCGCTTTACCAACCAACTACTGAAAGGCTGCTTTGTAGATAATAAAGATACAAAAGCCACAGCAGAAATGAGAAGACAGCAAATTACTTCAGTATGTGGTTTTTACACATGGTGAGATGTACAAATATTCATTACGAGTGAAAAGAAAAACAAGAGCCTCTCTGAAATTTTATATCCCAAGGGTCTCTCAAGGAGCCCTGGCAATGCAGTGGTTAAGTACTTGGCTGCTAATCAAAAAGTCATCGGTTTGAACCAGGCGCTCCACATGGCAGTCTGCTTCCATAGAGATTTATAGCCTTGGAAACTCTATGGGGCAGTTCTACTCTGTCCTATAGGGTTGCTATAAGTCAGACTCGACTCACCTGCAACAGGTAATGGGTCAGGGTCTCTCAGAAGTTCCCTACCCATCCTGAAATGTCTCTATGGCAGCCATAGATCTGAGTTCACAGTAACACCACTAAATGCTCTAGTGGTTGACAGGATATTTTTTAAAGGAGATTGTAACAGTCATTTTCTTAACTGTCCAAAATAACGAGATATTTGCTCTAACTTTGAGGTGCTGTGTTAAGCTAGTAACCTGGGCCAGAGAGTGATGATGCAGACCAAAGAACAGGCACCTTTCCGAACGGCCATGGGACAGAGACTGGCATTCATTCTCAGAGGGGAGTCCCTGGGTGGTGCAAACAGTTAATGCACTCAGCTGCTAACCAAAAGGTTGGAGGTTCCAGTCTACCTGGAGGTGCCTCGAAAGAAAGGCCTGGCAATTTACTTCCAAAAATTTTGCCACTGAAAACCGTATGGTACACAGTTCTACTCTGACACACATGGGATCGCCATGAGTCGGAATCAATTCAATGGCAGCTGGTCTGGTTTTTATTCCCAGAGGAGAGGGATGGGGGAAGACTGGAGGAGAGCTGTAACAAGCCTGCAGGTATGTGGGCTAGGGCCTGGAGGCAGCAGAAGAAGTTAGGAACCTTGTAAGGGGAAGTCACTCCAAGTCTCATTCTCCACTGGGCAGGGTCAGCTTTTTCTCCATTAAGCGTACAGATAGTTGGGGAGGCTTCCTAAAGTGGGGAGTTTTGACTTGCTTAAGAAGCTGCCTTAAAAAGTGACCAAGGGAACCCTAAGCTAGAAAGGTTTTATGGATGCTGGATCCACTCTAGCACAAGTTTCAGGCTCCTCTAACGCTGGAGAGCTGACTTTACCCTCCTGGTAGAAGCAGCTACTGAGGATGAAAGGAATGCCCTAGAATAACTGCATATTTAGGACTCTGACCAAACAATAAGAACGTGGTGAACGGAATACTTCAAAGGATACTTACTGCTTAAGAAACTGCTTAGACCATAAACATCTTATAGCATATTCCAGAGACAACACAACTCAAACTTTATAGAGCGCTGGGGAAAAACAACAGTAGCTGACTTCTAAAACATGAAAAATAAAAGTAGCTGATGTGGGAATAGTGGAGAGGGAATTCTTCTAAGATTTTCTTTTATTGTCTGTGATTATAAAAAATAAAAAAAAAGCAAATTACTTCATGTACCCCACTGCTTTTCCAACAGATTGTATTATTTTACCAATTTGAGAGAAATTAAAGTTCTTCCATTAAAAAGAAACAAAACAAAAGAATAAAACCGACATATTCACTAGCTCTTGCTGTGGAAAGCAATTTTAGGTCTATTAAATGATTCGAGATTAACAGACCACCACTACAGCCAATCAAAATGCAATCACTCCACACTGCATATGTGGGGCACTGGTAAATACTCTTGTAGCCGTTAATTAAATTTCACTATAATAAACATTTTTTTACTTAGTGGGATTTAAAAAAAAAATAAGTACAGTCTTTAAAAATATTTTCTAAGACTACAGAGTAAGAATTAGAGAGAAAGGTGCTATCCAGTCTCTCTCTAGGAAGCTAGAACGAGGAAAAAAGTATTCTGAATCAAATGAGAAACATGCAGAAGTGTTTCAAACACCTTTCCCCTTAGCCCTTTCTTCCGTGAAGGTTCTGGATCTTTTAGGGCCTTGCTTTGTTGGTGAGACGTTTAGGAATGTCACCTTTGTTTAGACACTGAGTCAGATTTTGTCTCTTGAAAGCTAACACTATCACTCTGAAGGATGACGAATCAATCCTCACATGGAAAGCCTCCTGTCTCATTAAAGAATGTGGCGTTCTTGATAGAATTTCTTTTCTAACATAAAAGTGGGATTAAAGAATGACTTTAAAAAAAATGATGTCTAATGAGTTGTACACCTTCTTCAGCAATAGGGCTGAAAACAAGAGATTAAAAACTGGCCCGAAATGTTGCGCAGAGGCGCCCACTAGGTAACTGAAGGAACAATGTAGAATGAACATGACAATTCAAGAGCTTTCCTTAGACGGTTTTCTTTCTCTAACGAGTTCTTAGCTATAGGTCTCAGTTTGAGGAAAGAAACCTTCCGGAGTCACCACCTTGGACACCCTCAAATCCCTGTCCATCCCACAGGCTGAGCCCATCTCTACTCACCTCATCATCACTGTCAGACGTCTCAGAGTCTGAGGAGGCTGCAGGCTGACTCACAGGTGGCTCCTTCTCCTCGGAGTCACTGCGCTTCCGTTTTGCCAGGGACAAGAGCTCCTAACAGGGTAGAAACAGTCACATGAGCTTCGTTCAACAGAGAAAGAATATCCAAGAATAATAAAATACTCACTCTACCTAGATCTCTTCTACACCTTTGTGCTCTCAACCCAAGGGCATCATCATTGGAACTTTTCTCATGTGAACAAGCTGACTGTCAGTATTCCTAACTGCTAAAGAAATGCTTTCTAAATCTGCCCCCTCCCTCTTAACGGGAAACATACATCTGAAGTGGAAAAGTGACTGGCAAACTGAACTGGAGGTTACCCCCAATCTGTCACCATTTCTTCTCTAAACTACAAGAGTACTGATTCTCAGGGACTGATGAGAACCACTATTCTAACTGGTACAGCTACTAATACTCTGAGCATCCTTCTTAGGGTATTCATGGAAAAATGAGCATTTGCAGGCTGTTCTGAGTAAGCTGACTTCACTGACAAACTACCACTTTCCAAGGTTCCTTTATATTTTGAACACTTAGACTAGGAAAAAAGATTCGGATATTTCCAGTGTTTAATCCAGGGTGTGACAACAAGCAGTAGGTGTGCTGGCCACTACATCAGAATCCTAATTTGACAACTTCCGTACTCCCATGCACCACCTCTGCCCTGTCCTGGTTACTTAAGTGAGATGGCGGTGTGGGGTGGGGGGGCCTCCATTAAGCAAGGAGGCATGACTACAACTAGGATTCGCTCCCTCATAGTCTCCTCCCCGCTTCCTTCTCTCCAAGTCCACTTGGCTCTGTTTCTTGCTCTCTGCTAATAACAATAGCAGTCCATAATTACACTGTACTTACTAGATGCCAGGTACTTTGCTAAGCACCTGACATTTAATCTGCACCACAAGCTTATAAGGTAGGTATTGTTATCATCCCTATTTAAAGACAGAGAAATCGAGGCACAGGGAAGTTAAGTAACTCACCGAAGGTAACATAGCTAGTACAAGGCAGAGCCAGGATTCAACCTGGGCAGTTAGATTCCTGGCTCCCAATTCTGTCACAGTTTAATAGTCTAAAACATTGTGTCTGTCTGCCAAAAAAAAAAGAGAAAATACAACTAATAGACACTAGTAGTATTATTCCTTGATGAAGAGGGTGCTATGCAATTACAGGTCAAGTGTCAAAACAGATTTTAAAACAATAGACTGCTACAAAGTGTCTGTTTTCTTCTTCTAATCTCTTTCTATTTTAGGAGTATACCTTCCTTGGCCAGAATAAGAAAATGACCTTCTCAGATTAACAGCTGACACTCTCTCTCTTCATAAGCAGTCATGAAACGCTACTCTTCTCATTTCATTAGAGAGAGCTAGCACACCAACTTCCTGGAAAGGCTAATGATCGCAAGAACATTCTACTCTTTCATACCAAAACGGTAACTCCTACAGACCAAACACAAATTACTGCAATATTTGAGTGTTATGACCATTTAAAAAAATTGAGCTATAATTTATATACAGTAAATTTACCCTTTTTAACATACAGTTCTATGATTTTGACAAAAAGAGTTTTTTAACCACTACCACCATCAAGATACAGAACAGTTCCATCATCCCCCCCAAATTCCCTTATGCTCCTCATACCTCTCCCCCAGCCCCTGGCAGTCACAGAGCTGTTTTCTGTCCTTACAGTTTTGCCTGTCATAGAATGTTATATAAGTGGAATCCTACAGTATGTAGCCTTTAGAGTGTGGCTTCTCTCACTGAGCATAATTCATGCGTACATCAGCAGTTTATCTCTTTTCACTGCTACATAGTATGCTGTTGTACGGCTGTACCACAGTTCGTTATCCATTTACCAGAAGAAAGACAAGTGAGCTTTTTCCAGTCTTGGAAAATGACACATTCACATGCAGATTTCTGAGTAAACATAGTTTATATTTCACCTGGGTAAATCTGTAGGATGGGGTTTGCTAGGTGGTATGGGAATTTGTTTATGGCCTTTTATTTCTTTACTATTACCTTTTCGCCCCACAAAAATGCAAATTTATAAAGTTTAGAAAGACTTCTGGCAAGTAATCTCTTCCCTGACCTCTCAAGATTCACAAACACAGTAAAGCGCTTGTTTTAATACCAATCCACGATAACAGGGATTTGGATAGGCTATCAATCAAATTAGTGTCCCTGAAACATTAACTATTACATGCAGTACTTGCCTGTTAAAAGTTACTGTAACAAAAGCGTTAAGATGTTAGTATAGTCTTCTTGTTAAAAGGTTCCACTACAAAAACCTAACAAATTGCTCTCCTGCAACAAACAACTGCATCTGATAAGCACAGTCCCTCCTCTCCACCTGCCCTTAACTACTGCTACAGAATAACAATACTGGAGCCCCGGTGCCGGTGCAGTAGTGGTCAAGAGCTGGGCTGCTAACCAAAAGATCAGCAGTTCAAATCCACCAGCTGCTCCTTGGAAACTCTATGGGGCAGTTCTACTCTGTCCTACAGGGTCACTATGAGTCGGAATTGACAATAGTATGGAGTCAGCAGAGACTTTCTTAACAGTATGAAGGATACCCCTTTAAACACCTTGGGAACTGTACAGAAATTTACTGGGGGAATTCATGGCAAAGCTGCTCTTTATGATTAAGTCCTTTACACCATATTGAGGGCTTGTAAGTATAAGTGAAGAGACCAATGTGCAACCAAAAGCTCTTTCCAACACTGCACCCATGAAGAGACCATCAGATGTGTTAGTTGCAGGGGCTGATCTACCCAACGTCTTGTACTCAAGAAAGCCCATCTAAGACGGATTCATGTACAGGGGTAGGTCTGACCGAAGCTCTCTCCTGCCAGCCTGCCTTACTGCACCGCACTGGCTAAGCCAACATTTTCTATGTGTCCAGTGGTCCCCTCTCACCAGCGCCCCTGCATTTCATCTCATCTGGTGAAAACCCTCCCTACTTACCTCGACACGGCTCAAGGGGAATGGCAGTGTGGGGTGCCAGCACGGTATGTCAAGTTTAAGCTGAACTAAAGACCTGCTTAAAGTAACGTCATTGCCCACATACTACAGGTATGGCGGGGTAGAGACGATGCATCTGGCTTCCAGAGCAGTTTCATTAACACTGCACATTCAATTAGACCACCTGATGTTTAAAAGAGAATTATGCTGGGTAATGTAAGAATTCTAATCCATCAATGTGTGAAGACTCACAAACTTTAAGATGTAATTCTCCCCACTCCACCATTTACAAATGGTGTACTTCTTTGTTATGTCAGGATCAACCTGTAATAAAACAACTTTTTTGCTTCCTATTTAAAATAAATTACATCTCATCTCTTTAATCAAACCTCCCATGATCACATGAAAGTGGGATACGGATTATGCACCCCAGAAAAGGTGAAAGAAGTTGATATGCATAAATACCAGAGACTTTATACCCAATTAGCACACTGAGCTCTCTTTCACTTACTCGTTCCATGAACATAAATAACGTAACTCGTTACCATTAGCCAGGGTGACCAACCATTCACTTTGCCCACGACTGTCGTGATATTAAAACTGAAAGTCCTGCATTCTGGGAAAGCCCTCAGTTCCAGGCAAACAGGATGGCTGGTCACACTAGTAGCAACGCCTGTGACGTACAAGCCCTGGGGAGACAGCCGTGAAGAAAAGACGCATGAACCTTGACCACATGGAATTTAGAACCAAATGAGAGGGACAGGCAATAAACAAGGAAAGAAACAAATAATCACATCTAATGGTAAGTGCTAAGAAGGAAGTGAATCAAGAGAATGGGAAATCTATCTGCAATAGAGTGATCTGGGGAGGCTTCTCGGAGGCGATGGGATTTAGGCCGAGACTAGACACTCTGGGGGAGGAAAAGGGGTGCAGTTTTCTGGGCAGAGGCCAGATGGAATAGCTAAGGCCCTGAAGCTGGCAACAAAAGCTTCACTTAGATAAAGAAGTAATAGAGGACCAGTGTGACTGGAGCTTAACAGGCAAGGGGCAGACTGGAATGAGGTGGGGTTAGAGGTAAGCAGAAACCAGATCATTCCAAGGTTTACAAAGCAGAGTCCAGCACATGGATTTTACTTAAAGGCAGTGGGAAGCCACCATATAGTTTTAAGCAGGGGAGTAATCCAACCCACTGAGAGTTTTAAAAGGGCACTCCAGCTGACAGATGAAGAACAGACCAGAAGGGCCAGGGTAGAAGGGCAGAGAGGAGTC